TTCCAGTTGCGGAAGACATTCGATTCATCGGGCCAGTTCAGCAACAGGGCCGTGGACACACAGGGGCAGAGAAGAGACATTGTTAGTGGACAAGAAATATGCAGTGGCAAGTGGCGAGTGCCGCATGGATGTCAAGTTGTCATGCACAATTCAGCTATTACTTACAGTCCAGCTAGTCCTGCCATTGCTCGCTCGTCCTGGTTCCTCCTCGTTCGTCTTCCTGCACGTCTGCACTTCTCCTTCCCCACCTTTGGCTTTGCGGTACGGGGGTGCCGGAAGGAATTCCCACCATGTATCCATGTACATGAAGTCCCACCATGACTCTCCATGTACATGTCCACGGCCACGTCAGCAGTTTGTATAGTACCGGAAGGAGTTCCCACGATGTCTCCAAAGGCCTAGAGCGAACGTCTTTGCAGCAATTCTTTTCGCCCTGCGCATTCAGTCCGCCGACGATGTCTCGAAAGGCCTAGAGCGGACGTCTTTGCAGCAATTCTTTTCGCCCTGCGCATTCAGTCCGCCGACGATGTATCCAAAGGCCTAGAGTACTAGAGGGGACGTCTTTGCAGCAATTCTTTTCACCCTGCACATTCACTCCGCCGACACGACAGCGTTTACGGGGCCGTTCCAGGTGCAAAAGGTCCACGTCAGCAGTTCTCAACTATTTCGCGTACGGGATAGTCGCCGCCACAGCGTTAAAGGGGTCGTTCCAGGTGCAAAAGGCATCCATCAATGGCACTTTGCAGTACGGGGTACGGAAAGGGGCCTCCTCGTTCGACTTCGTCGACTTCTGCAGTTCTCCTTCCCGTCAGGGGTACCGAAAGGGGCCTCCTCGCAGTTGTCCTTGCCGTCAGGTCCACGTCACGTCATGCAGTTCTCAACTATTTCGCGTACGGGATAGTCGTCTTTGTCGTACGCGACATCGGCGTTTACCGAGTGGCATTGGCACAAAGCAGACCGTTGACGGGGTCACGTGGCAAAAAAGTATCAACAAAGTGTCGACTACGTGTCGACCACGTGTATAGCGGTACACTCAGTGTAATAGTTCTTCATTGAGCGAAGGAAGAAGAGAGCGTTTATTACTCAATCTACTGGTTATGTATATGAGAGTAGGTGTGACACAAGGTGATAAGGTGTGAGTGGTGAAAGTAGGTGTAAAACTGCTACACCATCCCCTCCCCAACGGAAAGTTCCGTGGCTTTAACCAATTGTTAATCACGGAACCCAAGAGCATGGAATACAGTAATATCATAATGGTGTAGCAATGCAGCAGGTGGCAAGGAGCAACAGAATACCCAATTGTCAGGAACGGAAGCCTGTGTAACTAAAAAAAACTAGGGCTGAAACAATTATACCGATAACTCGCATATCGATCGTTAAGAGTGCAATAGATACTCGTTAGTGTTCCAAACGGGTGCTAACGATTTTTTATGCATGCATGTCAGTGACCACATTCTAGGCCTTGCACTCCATCCGATAGTGAATACGAGTACAATCATATACTTTCAAGCGCGGTGAAATTGATTCGTGGCTTTGAAAGAGATCGGGAGAGAAGACTTTGTCTTTTTGGTTCATTTCTGGGAGAGGTCGGAGATAAGAGCAGTTGCCAGAGGGTGATGACAGGATTCAGATGTCAACAGTGCGGTGCCACACATCTCTAACGCAGCAACGGTATTATGGAATTCCTTCCTAAACTGGTGCTCAAGGTACACGGGTAGAGCCAACAAGAATCGATAAAACCAATATATCGATGGTTAATGATATTGGTTGATCGTTAGGAGTTATTGAATGATCGTTTCAGCCCTAAAAAAAACTCAATAATGTCAGGAACTGAACGCAAATAACCACAACATGGAGGAGCTGCAGACCATGCTATCACTTGCGTAGACTAGTGAGATAGTTCCGCAGCTGGACAATGTTTTTACCTGACTCGTCAACCAAGTTACTAATGGGCTCCCATGTTTCCTCGCCAACGGGGTAACCCTTCCAATGCACCAAGTACTGGCGCTCACCCCGGTCATCTCTGTTCTTCAGGATGGCCTCCACCATATAGCGGGTGTTTCCGTCCAGATCCATAAACGGAGGGGGCACTGGCTGGTGTTGGGAATGGTGTTCTGTTCGTAGTGTCGCAGAGCAGTGACGTTGAATACAGGATGACAGCGGAAAACGGACGGCAGCTCCAATTCGTAGGCGTTCGAGCCCACCTCCCGAACGACGCGGAACGGCCCAAACCATTTTGGTTGTAGCTTCCTCGATGGCTGTTTTCGGGCCTCCGGTGATATCAGAAAGTCTCTATAGACTAGGGCAAGGTCTCCCACCTTGAGACGGCTAGGATTCCTACCCCTGTCGGCATACAGGGCCTGGCGGGCTTGAGCCGCGACAACACTATCCTGCGCTTTCTTAAGCGCATCAGATCTGGCTTGGATCCAGTCTGGCCTAGTTCTCCGCGCTCCCGTTCCCAGAATGAAGTCTGCGGGCACCTTCGGGTTGAAACCATAATTCAAGAAAAAGGGAGAATTACCAGTGGATGCTTGCTGGGAATTGTTGATGGCATACTCGCATATGGGTAATAGTGCGGCCCAATTATCTTGCTTGTGGTTAACAAAACACCTGAGAATATCGGCAATTAATCTGTTCATTCGCTCTGTCTGTCCATCTGTTTGAGGGTGATTAGCCGTGGAAAATGACAACTTCACACTATAGAAGAGCTAAGACCGTGAAGACGAAAAACATGCTGAATATACAAATTGGCACTGCCTTCGGCATCTATGGTTGCCAGTAGTAGTGACCGAGCGGGTCCTGGGACAAGGGTTGAACCCACTTGACCTTATGAATGGGTACTTGAACTTTGCGGTTGTTAATTAAGTGGCCACTTGACCTTTTAATTGGATAAGTGATAATGAAGTGGCCACTTGAGATCTGAAGTGGTTTTGAAGTGGGCCAGGTGTCATATTTAATTGGATTAATGACTAAGTGGTGTATGAAGTGCCTCTCGGCGACATAAGTGCTTTTAAAGTGGTGGGTGTGGTTGTTAATAAGAGTCACTGTCTGGGAATGTGTTCTGAAATGGAATCACATCACATCGGCGATATCCGAATCGAGGCCACTATCATAGTCTTGTCCATCAGCCATCTTCTTCCGCCATATATTACATCACAGTCCAGCAGATACACAAACACACACACACACAAATATGTTATGAGTAATCGTTCTAGAAACTTCTTTTTTTACCTTTGTATGAGTAATCTTTCAAGTATGTTCATTCGTAGACACTTGTCTAGAACAAGAAGTGGGCAATTCGTTATCTAGATCAAAGTGACTTGACAGACAAGAGTAATGGCACAAGTATGTCATGGAAACTTCTAGACTACATCAAAAACCAGTTCTCTAAGCAGTTGATCACTCAATACTTTGAAAGACTACATGATTGTACTACCACATAATATAATTTAACAATCAGCAGCAGCAACAACAACAACAACACGCACATCATCATCATCATCATAGCACTGTCATTTACCGCTATTGCAGATGATGTCTTTTTTGTCAAGTCCTTGATTGCTTCTTCGTTTTTTCCTCCAACTCTTCTACCGTCACTGTCTGTCAAACACCAGTGCTTCACCCTTGCTCCTTATATACACCTCTTGAATGCTATTATACAATACACTTTCTCGATCAGCTATTATGGTATAGCAAGTCCATCACCACTGCAGCTGACCTAGAATTGAATTACCCGTCGAAAGTTCTGGAACCTAAATTTCAATTTCAATTGTAATGCTACGTAGTGGAGGTACAACTGAAAAACAATGCATTTCCCACCAATTGATCAGACATGTAGGTTGATACGGTTGAAAGCACCTTTCGCGGCGGTAATTGTATGTCACAGAAACATCTCCAAGATCGCACCCGTCGAAAGTTCTGGAACGTAAATTTAAATTTCAATTGTAATGGTAGGTAGTGGAGGTACAACTGAAAAACACAATGCATTTCTTACCAATAGATCAGACATGTAAGTTGATAGGGTTGAAAGCACTTTTAGCGGTGGTATTTGTATTACAAAGAAACATCTCGAACATCGATGCAAAAAGAACCTGTCAATAGCATGCACTCTGTACTGCATTCTACCAACTCTCATTGCACACTCCACACAGTATATAAACCGCAGCTCACACCCGCAACTGTATCACAGGTTGGTGAAACAGTGCTACCGCTACTCCTTTGAAACATGAAGCGGATGCATAGTTCAAGCGGCGGCGGCGGTGGTGATAGTGATGTGGGAGTTGGTGAGGATGACAGCTCTTCACCCCCAAAATTGAGAAAAGAATCCGCACTTACTTTGACTCGTACAGCTCCTCGTGGATTCTTGAGAGAGTATAGAGCCAGTTTCCTAGACGAGCAGAAGGACGTTCTTGGTGTTCCCAACGATCTATCACCAGATCTGTATGAAACAATGGTGCACGAGCTAGGCATCCAGCAGTTCAAAGCTGTACTGGTTCTTTGTGTCACTGTTGAGAAGCCCAATGCCGCAGGTGCAATCGTCTACGCCTCTCCATTTTTCCGAAGCCGGCCTATGACTGTGTTGAACGTGAGCAACATTCCAGGTCTACTAACCGCCGCCTTCGACGGGATCACTGCAAAGGTGGACGCTTGGGTGCAAGGTGGTTCAGGCTGGGCTGTGAGTAACGTGAAAACTGCACATCTTGATATTTGCAAGTATCGTCCAATGCGCATGTCGTCGTACCTTCCTCTACCTAAAAAGTTAGCTTCGTCAAAGGCCATCATCAATGTGAAGAATGACGACGAGCAGTGTCTGAAGTGGGCTCTTCTGTCTGCCCTGCATCCAGCTGTGCAACATGCAGAACGTGTGAGCAAGTATGCGCAGTATTCGCAGAGTCTCAACTTTGACGGTGTAGAGTTCCCTGCAACCATAGATGATGTGTACAGGGTGGAGAAGGCCAACTCGCTGAACATCAACGTGTTTGCATTTTTGAAAACTACATCATTCCCATAAAGTTATCAGGTAGTGACAATGCAATAAATCTCCTGATCCTGCAAGATGATCTCCTTAGCCATTACTGTTGGATAAAGAACTTTAGCGCTCTATGTGCCAGCCAGACAAAGTGCAAGACGAAGAGGTACTTCTGCATGCGATGCCTCTCCGCACATCGCAGCGATACCACTCTGAAGAAGCATCAACTATACTGCAGCGATGTGAAGGCAGCGACAGTCCAGATGCCAAAAGCAGACGAGCAGCTCAAGTTCACGGAGATACAGCGGAAGATGAAAATGCCGTATGTGATCTATGCCGATACTGAGTGTCTGCTGAAAGCAACGTCTCCAGAGCGCCATGGGAAGCAAACTGTTCGTGAAGCTGAACACGTACCATGTGCAGTGTCGTATGTCGTCGTACGCTCTGATGGTGTACTGAAGAACACTTTCACGTTCAGAGGTGAGTCCTTCAGCATAACTAATTAAATGTACTGCTCAATGTGTGTGTGTGTGTGTGTGTGTGTGTGTGTGTGTGTGTGTGTGTGTGTGTAAATGTGAAATATCAGCGTTAATCGTATACCCAGTCGTTAAATCTTTATTCTCACAATATCCAGTGGTCAATAAGAGAGATAATATTTTATGAAAAAAAAGAGGAAAGAGTGAGGAATAATTTGTTGTTGTTGTTGTTGTTGTTTTTGTTCTTTCTACTTTTGTATATGTAGGAGATGATCCGATTGAAAAGCTTTTCGAAGAGCTCTCCAAGGAGGAAGAGCGCATAGAGGAAGACCTGAAGAACATACGTCCTATCATCATCACGGATGATGAAGAGGTGCAGTTCCGCAATGCCGCAGAGTGCTGGATCTGTGGCAAGAAACTGAAGGGTGCTGATCGGGTGCGCGACCACGACCACCTCACCGGACTGTACAGAGGAGCTGCACACAACGCCTGCAATTTGAAGTTCCGCATCGTGCCAGAGCACCATCCCATCCCCGTTGTATTTCACAACCTGAAAGGGTATGATGGACATCTCCTGATATCCAGCATCGGCCTCACGTCCATGAACACTGAGGAGTACATTGACAGACAAGGACGGCGTCGACGCAAGGTGAAGGGGCGTGTTACTGTCATACCCAACAATATGGAGCGGTATGTGTCATTCTCGTGGGGGAGATTCCGATTCATTGACAGTCTTTCCTTTCTGAACGCATCGCTGGACAAGCTAGTGAGCAACACGCCTCGCGACTCGTTCTTTCACCTCAAGTCCCTGGCTTCGTCGTACAGCAACAACGCCACGGGCAGCAACGTCACGGGTAGCAACGCCACGGGCAGCAGCAGCAGCAGCAGCAGCAGCAGCAGCAGCACCACCACCACCACCAGCAGCAGCACGACCAGCAGCACCACCAGCAGCACCACCAGCAGCACCAGCAGCAGCAGCAGTGCACCAGGCTCGTCTAGCAATACCCTGCTGGATCTCCTGCATCGCAAAGGTGTCTATCCCTACGAATACATGAACAGCAGCGCTAGGTTTTCCGAGACTGGTCTTCCTGCAAAGGAAGACTTTTACTCACGCCTCTCAGAGTGCCACATCAGCGATGAGGACTACTGCCATGCCCAGCGTGTGTGGACTGCATTCGGCTGTAGCGACATGGGCGACTACCATGATCTCTACCTGAAGACCGATGTGCACCTTCTTGCAGATGTGTTTGAGAAATTTAGATGCACTGCAATGGCCACGTACGATTTGGACCCGACACACTACTACACCCTGCCTGGATTCGCGTGGGACGCCCTTCTGAAACATACAGGAATCTCGCTCACTCTGCTGGACGACGTGGACATGCATCTGTTCGTCGAGCGCGGTCTTCGTGGCGGTGTTACAATGGCGTCACACCGCCACGCCAGGGCGAACAACAAGTACATGAGCTCACACGACCCTGAGCAGGCGTCAACATATCTTCAATACCTCGACGCGAACAACCTGTACGGCTGGGCCATGTCGCAGCGCTTGCCGACATCAAAATTCCAGTGGTGTGCCCCCAGTGACGAACTCCTGCAGAAGATCCTCACCCAGCCAGATGACGCAGACACTGGGTACATGGTGGAGTGTGATCTGTCAGTGCCCACAGAGTTCCACGATCGCCTGAACGACTACCCACCCGCACCGGAGCGTGTAACCATCACCGAGAGTATGATGTCGCCATACCAGCGCGACTTGATTGCAGCAGATCCTGTCTCCGGACTGAGTGCTCCGAAACTGGTCCCGAACCTCATGCCGAAGCAGCGCTACGTAGCACACTACCGTAACCTCAGGCTGTACAGTCGTCTAGGTCTGAGGATCGATGCTGTACACCGCGTGCTCAGTTTCCGCCAAGCTCCGTGGATGAAGCCCTACATCCAGCTGAACACGGAGCTTCGGAAGAAGGCGAAGAACGATTTCGAGAAGGACTTCTTCAAATTAATGAATAACGCTGTGTTTGGGAAGACAATGGAGAATGTGAGAAGAAGGATCTCCATTAGACTGCTGCGTGTGGAAGACGAGGAAGATACCATTCTCACAGCTGTGGCTAAGTCCACCTACGTCCGCCATGTCCTCTTCGACAACGGGCTTGTGGGCGTCGAGAACAGGAAGCTTGCGGTCCACCTCAACAAGCCGGTGTACGTTGGCATGAGCATCCTGGAGCTGAGCAAGGAGCTCATGTACAGATTTTACTATGACGAGCTCCAGCCACGCTACGGAGACCGCATGAGCCTGCTGTACACAGACACGGACTCGCTGGTGCTGCTGTTCCGCACGGAGGACCTCTATGCGGACATGAAGAGTATGGCCGATCAGTACGACACCAGCAACTTTAGCCCCGACAGTCCTCTGTACAGCGAGAGTAATAAGAAGGTTGTAGGTAAATTTAAGGACGAGCTCGGAGGGAAGCTCATGACAGAGTTCGTGGCGCTCAGATCCAAAATGTACGCGTACGATGGCGAGGAGAGTGGTCAGCGTGCAAAGGGCGTCAAGAGAGCGGTGACGAGAAGATTCACGATCGCGGACTACCGTCAGTGTCTGGTCGACAGGACGAGGATGTCACACGCAATGACCACCCTGCGCAGCCATTCGCATCGTATCTTCACCGAGACGATGACCAAGTCGTCTTTGTCGCCGTTCGACAGCAAACGATACATCCGAACGGACGGTGTCAGCACACTTGCACATGGGCACCACCGCATCGCACTGCTGGATGACTGAACAATGATGGTTGTGGTTGACAATCACAATTATTAGTCACACCCTGTACCATATCAATTCCATTTGTCTAATGAGTTACTGATCTTGATCTTGATGATGATGATGATGATGTTGATGTTATTATTTTTCTACATACTACATAATTTTGTTTTCTCCATAACTTAACTAGACTTTTAATATAGCTAAACATAATTGCGTGAAATGCAATTGCACAGTTGATGATGTTTACGATGATGGCAATGTTTGATGTTGATGTTGATGATGATAATAAGAATAAGATTGCTCTTGTCGGCAGCTAGAGCTTGCTCAATTGTCCGTTGTCAATCCAGGAGTTGAACTTGTCCGGGTAGCCTTTCCACTTGACCAGAGACTGTCCGGGGCGTTTGCGCAGGATTTTCTCCACGCGGAACTTGGTTTTCCTTGGTTTTCTGCAGTTGATGTTCGTAGAAACTGCCCTGAATAGGCTCGTTCATGAGATCTCGAATGTTGTAGGTGGGTGGTTGGGTGGGTAGAACTCTATTCACGACGAACACCTCTTCAGTCCAATTGGGTGTGTAGCCTGTATGTGTGTGTGTGTGTGTGTGTGTGTGTGTGTGTGTGTACATCTCCAATAATATACATGTAGCTCAAAGTGAGACAGGCGAGGATAGACATAATAGTTATCAATGAGAGCATTTGTGGAATTCCAAAATTCGTGAATGTTGACTGGGTTTGCTGACAACGCTTGTAGTGCACCACGTCAATAGCATGCAGTTCTTGATAAAAGAACTCAACTAGAGTGCAGTGCAGTTCATGACCGTATCCTCTCAGCGACACTTCTTCGCACAAGAGAATGAGCATTGCAACCAACACGATGATCATACTAATGTTGTTACTGGAAGGGGTGCTCTTCACCTTCTAATTAACAACCGACTCCGTCGACGGAGTCGACTCCGTCGGTTGTTAATTAGTCCCCTTGACCTTATAATTGGATAAGTGGTAATTAAGTGACCACTTGAAACGTGAAGTGGTTTTAAGTGGCCTAGGTGTCACATTTAATTGGGTTAATGACTTAATGGTTTTGAAGTGCCTCTCGGCGACATAAGTGCTTTTAAAGTGGTGGGTGTGGTGTTAATAAGATTGACTGTCTGGGATGTTTTTGAAACCATTAGGGTATAGCGACCCCGCCACCACTGCAGCAGACTTAGAAATGAATTACCCGTACCGTCGAAGGTTCTCGAACGTTAACTTCAATTTCAATTGTAATGTTATGTAGTGGAGGTACAACTGAAAAACAATGCATTTTACCAATTGTCCAGACCTGTGAGCTGATATGGTTGAAAGTACCTTTTAGCGGCGGTATTTCAGTTATATGCCGCTCGGGAGCGATTGACTGCCGTCGATAGACATCTGGTACGCTTCATGGAAAAGACCGGTGTCCTGCTGAACCTTCACGGTGTGCTGGAACCGTTGCAGTACATGAAGAAGGAGAATGGCTACAAGAGCCTGAACTATGCCATAGCTCTGACATGCATCTGTGCTGGCCACGACGAGATTTGCCAGAAGCTTCAGCCATATCTTCCAAAGAGCCATGTGTCGTGGGCACGATCCAGCAAGCTAATGAGTTGCAAACCGCAGCAATTTTCGAAAGACTGGCTCCGCCAACTTCTAATCCGTACAAAGCCTCTTACCCCTTTTCAGGTGAAGAAGTTTAAGCTGAATATCCGAGAGTTTAATTCTGAGGAAAAATGAACTGATGCAAAGACTAATCAAATCTTACGGGTGCTATGAACCCCGTGTGGAAGTAATTCCTCAGGAGTTGAAATGTGTGCTGTACCGTTTCTCAAGTGCCATGTGTAGGAGAAGGAGGATGAAGGGTGCTCCTGCTCCTGCTGCTGCTGCTGCTGCTGCTTCTGTTATACATGTATAAATAAAAAAACCTGACATCTTAATTTTCAATCATTTCTCAAAGAGTCATTGTCAAGTCACAAGTAATTGTTGTCTTCATCCTTGTTATTACTTTGGTGAAGAAGAAGAAGAAGAAGAAGAAGAAGAAGAAGAAGAAGAAGAAGAAGATGATGATGATGAACATGATTGTGGTCTATTTTGAAAGGTCATGATGAGGACGGACATTGTCCAATGGGTACGCTGATGCGGTGTGCTGCGCGGTTAGGAATCGCAACCTCGCTGACGAACATGGTGGAACCTTTCAATGGAGACCTGGATATGACCAAGCAGTTGTTGAAAGTCACCCCATAACCAACTTGATCTGGATTGCTGCCAAGGACATGGCTTCCTGCGGGCGGAAAGAACTACTTGATGTAGTGAAGCTGTTGTTTCCAATTGATCCAACCCCTGATGGGACAGCCCCTAGTACTGCTACTGACAAGTCTGACATTGCTCAACGCTACCTCATGAAGAACCTATCCTGCGTGTTCAAGAAGGTGAAGAGCACCCCTTCCAGTAACAACATTAGTATGATCATCGTGTTGGTTGCAATGCTCATTCTCTTGTGCGAAGAAGTGTCGCTGAGAGGATACGGTCATGAACTGCACTGCACTCTAGTTGAGTTCTTTTATCAAGAACTGCATGCTATTGACGTGGTGCACTACAAGCGTTGTCAGCAAACCCAGTCAACATTCACGAATTTTGGAATTCCACAAATGCTCTCATTGATAACTATTATGTCTATCCTCGCCTGTCTCACTTTGAGCTACATGTATATTATTGGAGATGTACACACACACACACACACACACACACATACAGGCTACACACCCAATTGGACTGAAGAGGTGTTCGTCGTGAATAGAGTTCTACCCACCCAACCACCCACCTACAACATTCGAGATCTCATGAACGAGCCTATTCAGGGCAGTTTCTACGAACATCAACTGCAGAAAACCAAGGAAAACCAAGTTCCGCGTGGAGAAAATCCTGCGCAAACGCCCCGGACAGTCTCTGGTCAAGTGGAAAGGCTACCCGGACAAGTTCAACTCCTGGATTGACAACGGACAATTGAGCAAGCTCTAGCTGCCGACAAGAGCAATCTTATTCTTATTATCATCATCAACATCAACATCAAACATTGCCATCATCGTAAACATCATCAACTGTGCAATTGCATTTCACGCAATTATGTTTAGCTATATTAAAAGTCTAGTTAAGTTATGGAGAAAACAAAATTATGTAGTATGTAGAAAAATAATAACATCAACATCATCATCATCATCATCAAGATCAAGATCAGTAACTCATTAGACAAATGGAATTGATATGGTACAGGGTGTGACTAATAATTGTGATTGTCAACCACAACCATCATTGTTCAGTCATCCAGCAGTGCGATGCGGTGGTGCCCATGTGCAAGTGTGCTGACACCGTCCGTTCGGATGTATCGTTTGCTGTCGAACGGCGACAAAGACGACTTGGTCATCGTCTCGGTGAAGATACGATGCGAATGGCTGCGCAGGGTGGTCATTGCGTGTGACATCCTCGTCCTGTCGACCAGACACTGACGGTAGTCCGCGATCGTGAATCTTCTCGTCACCGCTCTCTTGACGCCCTTTGCACGCTGACCACTCTCCTCGCCATCGTACGCGTACATTTTGGATCTGAGCGCCACGAACTCTGTCATGAGCTTCCCTCCGAGCTCGTCCTTAAATTTACCTACAACCTTCTTATTACTCTCGCTGTACAGAGGACTGTCGGGGCTAAAGTTGCTGGTGTCGTACTGATCGGCCATACTCTTCATGTCCGCATAGAGGTCCTCCGTGCGGAACAGCAGCACCAGCGAGTCCGTGTCTGTGTACAGCAGGCTCATGCGGTCTCCGTAGCGTGGCTGGAGCTCGTCATAGTAAAATCTGTACATGAGCTCCTTGCTCAGCTCCAGGATGCTCATGCCAACGTACACCGGCTTGTTGAGGTGGACCGCAAGCTTCCTGTTCTCGACGCCCACAAGCCCGTTGTCGAAGAGGACATGGCGGACGTAGGTGGACTTAGCCACAGCTGTGAGAATGGTATCTTCCTCGTCTTCCACACGCAGCAGTCTAATGGAGATCCTTCTTCTCACATTCTCCATTGTCTTCCCAAACACAGCGTTATTCATTAATTTGAAGAAGTCCTTCTCGAAATCGTTCTTCGCCTTCTTCCGAAGCTCCGTGTTCAGCTGGATGTAGGGCTTCATCCACGGAGCTTGGCGGAAACTGAGCACGCGGTGTACAGCATCGATCCTCAGACCTAGACGACTGTACAGCCTGAGGTTACGGTAGTGTGCTACGTAGCGCTGCTTCGGCATGAGGTTCGGGACCAGTTTCGGAGCACTCAGTCCGGAGACAGGATCTGCTGCAATCAAGTCGCGCTGGTATGGCGACATCATACTCTCGGTGATGGTTACACGCTCCGGTGCGGGTGGGTAGTCGTTCAGGCGATCGTGGAACTCTGTGGGCACTGACAGATCACACTCCACCATGTACCCAGTGTCTGCGTCATCTGGCTGGGTGAGGATCTTCTGCAGGAGTTCGTCACTGGGGGCACACCACTGGAATTTTGATGTCGGCAAGTGCTGCGACATGGCCCAGCCGTACAGGTTGTTCGCGTCGAGGTATTGAAGATATGTTGACGCCTGCTCAGGGTCGTGTGAGCTCATGTACTTGTTGTTCGCCCTGGCGTGGCGGTGTGACGCCATTGTAACACCGCCACGAAGACCGCGCTCGACGAACAGATGCATGTCCACGTCGTCCAGCAGAGTGAGCGAGATTCCTGTATGTTTCAGAAGGGCGTCCCACGCGAATCCAGGCAGGGTGTAGTAGTGTGTCGGGTCCAAATCGTACGTGGCCATTGCAGTGCATCTAAATTTCTCAAACACATCTGCAAGAAGGTGCACATCGGTCTTCAGGTAGAGATCATGGTAGTCGCCCATGTCGCTACAGCCGAATGCAGTCCACACACGCTGGGCATGGCAGTAGTCCTCATCGCTGATGTGGCACTCTGAGAGGCGTGAGTAAAAGTCTTCCTTTGCAGGAAGACCAGTCTCGGAAAACCTAGCGCTGCTGTTCATGTATTCGTAGGGATAGACACCTTTGCGATGCAGGAGATCCAGCAGGGTATTGCTAGACGAGCCTGGTGCACTGCTGCTGCTGCTGGTGCTGCTGGTGGTGCTGCTGGTGGTGCTGCTGGTCGTGCTGCTGCTGGTGGTGGTGGTGGTGGTGCTGCTGCTGCTGCTGCTGCTGCTGCTGCTGCTGCCCGTGGCGTTGCTACCCGTGACGTTGCTGCCCGTGGCGTTGTTGCTGTACGACGAAGCCAGGGACTTGAGGTGAAAGAACGAGTCGC